ATGATGCCCATTAGACAACAAAGTAGGTAGGCATTTAGCTGTTTGAGTGAGTCTTGCCTTTCTCCAAGACTGTATGTTTAAATATATATACTTACTATATACCCGCAAAAATTAAAAATAAAAAAATTAAAGAATTTTTAAAAGATTATTTTTCTAGCAACTAGCATAGGATCTTGCAGTAGGTTATTCTTAATTAAATTTGATAGGTCAAAAGAATACGTGACCTTCCTCTGTGTAAATGTTTCAAGATCTACCCACAGTTTTATATTTTCACATTCCCAGGTTGGTTAATATCAAGCCAGCTGACATTACACAGCCTGGAGAACTGTGGAAGTCCTCATTAGTAACAACCTGATTGTTTAGTACCTTCTTATACTTGGCTCTCCCAAACATTTTGATTAGGACCAGGACTGATATTGAATATTAATAAGTGGATTGAAGACAGACCCATGGTTTCTGTCTTATTATTCTAGTGTTGAACTTTCTTAATGTGATGATTGCAAGACATTTTTTCTCTGTGAGTATACAAGATAAAATAATATTGACTTTTTTGTTGTACTTTTGAAATCATAGTGTTTTCCCCATCACACAGTATAGGAAATCGAGGCACAGAGGGCTTAGCTATGCATGTCTGGAATTCAGGACCGAGGTCTAAGCAGGACAAATGAATTTGGGATTTCTCAACATATAGGTGGTAGGTAACGCCTTGAGTCTAGAAGGGATCACCTAATGAGTATATGAAAAGAGAAGAGGGCCAAGGAAGTTGACAGCAAGAGCTTTTGCCTTGCAGTTCACTTGAATGCTTTCCAGATGATAATAGGACCTGAAACAGTATCTGATGATGCTGAAGAGTCCATGAAGGTTGGTACTTTAGAAAATTTTAATTTGATGAGTGAGCAGTAATGCTGATCTTCCCTGATTTGAATTTATAGACAGTGTAACACTCGACATCTATAAAACGTAGTGTGTTTTATAGTGTTGAAAAGGTCACAGTTCTGTTGTGAGTTGCTGGAGACTAAATTGCTCATACATTTTCTCTCGTACCTTATACAGTCAGGCTTTTTTTTCTCTCTCCCTCCCCTGAAGCTTTTCTTGTCAAGTTCACCAATGACATTCACATGGCATCATTGTTGGAAATTTTTCAGAGTCCTCATTTTACTTATTTTTTCAGCAGCATATGAGCCAGTTGACTACTTCTTCCCCACACACGTTTTCTTTATTTTTTGGGTCACGTGCTCTTGGTTTCCTCCCACCTCACTGATCACTTTGCTTTCCCCCCTGCTTGATCCTCCATTTCTTCTTGATTTCTAAATGCTTCAGTTTCCTGGGGATCAGTCCTTGTCCCTCTTCTGTTTTCCATGAATATTCATGAGGTAACCCCTTCTAGACCCAAGGCTTTACGTACCACCTACGTGTTGATAAGTCCCCAAATCATCTGCCCTGCTTAGACCTTGTTCCTGAATTCCAGACACGCATAGCTAACCTCTCGGTGCCTCTATTTCCTCAGCTAAAAAGTGGAGCAATGAGAGTACTGAGCTCACAGCGTTTGTGCTGGATATTCTCTGTTTGCACCAGCAGATCCACCTCTCACCCTTTCTATCTGCTCAGTCCCCAGGGAAGCTGATCTGTGGGGCCTGCACCAAAGAGTTGTCTTGCTTTCTGGCTTCTGACTGAGTTTAGTTAACGGAAGCCTCCATGAAGAGGTGGAACAGAGAGAAGAGAGAGTTCTGGTAATTTATTCTCCCAGATCTCTCCCTGTCAAGCTATAGGATGGCAGTTGCTGCCTTCCTCTGTTGAAGCCCATAGCTCCTGCTGGACAGCCAAGATGTAAAGCCTTGTCTCCTCGTTCCAGTAATTGCTCTCTCTTCTTCCCTGTTCTCGCAGCCCTGCTAGTGCCAGTTCTGAGGCATTTCACCATTCCTTGTTGATTTCCCTTAGCTATGCTCACACTTTTATAAATAGTCTCCTCATTAAACTCTCCTCAGTCACCTGGTTTGAGTGTGCCATTTGTCTCCTGCTGAGACCTGACCAGTTTGAGATTAAATGAAGGTGGTGATTAAATAAGCCAATATTTGTAAAGGACTTAGAGCAGTCTCTGGCATATAGTAAGTGCTATAAAGGTGTTTGTGAAACAAATAAATGAATAAACTGCACACATGAGCTCTCTATTTAAGTATTTAAAACTAACTCTTAAAATTTGCCACCCTTCCTTTATTGGTCAAGGTTCTTCAGAGAAACAGAACCAATAGGATGTACACGTACATAAATACATCCTACCCATAGGATGTGCATGTGTGTGTGTGCACATGTATGCATATATGCATATGAAGACATTTATTCTAAGAAATTGATCAATGATTATGGAGGCTGGCAGGTCCAAAATCTGCAAGGTGGGCCAGGAGGCTGGAGACCCAGGGAAGTTGATGCTGTAGTACCAGTCTCAAGTCCACCTGCCGTAGAACCAGGAAGAGCCAATGTTGCAGGTGGAGTCCAAGGGAAACCTACTAAAGATTTCTTTCTTCTTGGGGAAGGCCAATATTTTTGTTCTATTCAGACCTTCAAAGAATCAAAATGTGTTTGACCAAATATCTGGGTACCGTATTGTCTGGTCAAGTTGACACATAAAATTAATTGTCACACTTCCCAATATACCCCACCCCCAGACCTCAGTTTTTCCTTGCTCACTAAAGTCCCATGCATTCACTCTTTGACTAATTCTGAACTTTTTTCTGTCATGCCCACATCCCATCAATCCTTCAACACATTTCTAGAACCTACTATTTCTCACCATCTCCACCACTGCCACTGTGCTCCAAGCCGCTGTCATTTCTCACGGGGATTATGTTTATAGATCCCTATCTCCTGCTCTCACTCTACCCTCCTAGAGACTATTTTTGACAGGATAGCTAGAGTGATTTTTTAAAAATAGAAATAATATCGTGCCACTTCTATATCACTCAGGATCAAAGCCCAAGTCCCTAGAGTGATCTGTGAAGTTTGAGATGATCCAATCCCAGATCCCTCTCCCATCTCTTCCCCTTGCTCAGCTTGTCCAGCTACATTGACCTTCTTGCTGTTCCTTGAACTTGCCGAGCATGCTCCCACTTGGAAGCCTGCATGCTTGCTGCTTCCTCTGCCTGGAAAGCTCTTCCCTCACATGCTCATGCGTCTCACTCTCCCTTCACTGAGCTTTCCTCTTAGATGTTACTTCCTCAGAGAGATCGTCCCTGGCTGCCCTTACTGGAGCACCCTCCGCAGCTTGCCACCCCTCATCCTCCTTTGTTTTCCTTCCTAGCTTTTATCCTAACATGCCATTATGTATTTGTTTGTTTGCTTGTTTGTAGGCCATCTCCTCCTCTAGAAAGTAGTGCTATGGAGAACAGAGACTTCTTGCCTGTTTTTTTTTGTTGTTGTTGTTGTTGTTTTTCACTTCCATATTCCAAGCCCTAGAATTGTGTCTAGGAACTCAATTATAGTAAAAACTCAATAAATATTTGTGAAATCTATGAACAAATTTTCTTGTGTGCATTTTCCTCAGGTCTAAGAGTAGTAATGACTTGGGCTGGTGTGCATATTAATTCACAGAGGGCTCAGAGCATGCCCTCATATGTTCTCTGATTTATCCCCACATCATCCTGTAAGAAGGGAATGAGAAGAATAATCATGACTCACACCTGTCAGTGGGAGTTTGAGAATGGGAATGTTTGGTGCTTAAGGATTTTAGTGTCCTCTTTTGAAGATTAGAATACCTTGAGAGAGGATCCTGGATATAATTCAATGTACCTCATGAGGTAGGAGGTATGTATCTTGGAATTCTGTCTTGGAAGAATTTATTCATTTTACAAGGCTGCGAATTTTACTACAAGATCTGACCAGCAACAATGTACTAAGTCAACATGAATTTTAAATCTTTAAAATTCTTGCCATACTGGAAAAATTACAATTGAAAGTTGTGGTTTCAGGATTCACAAGTGCACAGGGGATAAAAGGAAAAAATAGTTTTGGACATCCTCTGACACTTGTTTTCCAAACCCAGTAACCAAGGGTGTAGTGCCCTTTGTTGTCCTGTGAATGCTGTTACATAAATACATTACTCTCTTCCTGCACACTTCCTCCCAACCACAACAGTATAAATTTGGTATTTCAGTGAAAGTTTACGAACAATGTGCAAATGCATATGATTTTTTTACATTAAGGTTTTCTCAGGAGAATGATGCTACATAATAAACTTGCAATTGCAAGGATTATGGAACCAACCTAAATGCCCTTTGACCAAAGAGTGGATAAAGAAAAGATGATATGTATACACTATGGAATACTATTCAGCCATAAAAAGGAGTGAGATAATGTCTTTTGCAGCAACTTGGATGGAACTGGAGGCCATTATTCTAAGTGAGGTAACTCAAGAATGAAAAATCAAATACCATATGATCTCACTTATAAGTGGAAGCTAAGCTATGAGGACATAAAAATATGCAGAGCGATATAATGGACTGTGGGGACATGGAGTGGGTAGAGGTCAGGAGGGAAGTGAGGGATAAAAGGCTATATATTGGGTACAGTGTGCACTGCTTAGGTGACAGGTGCACTAAAATCTCAGAATTCACTTCTAAAGAACTCATCTAGGTAACAAAAACCATCTGTACCCTCAAAACTATTGAAATTTTAAAAACTTTAAAAAATAAATAAAGTAATCTGGGTGCTGTGGCATGCCTGTAGGCCCAGCTACTAGGAAGGCTAAGGCAGGATGTTTTGGGTTCAGCAGTTCGAGGCTGCACTGAGCTATGACTGTGCCACTGCATTCCAACCTGGACAACAGAGTGAGGCTCTAATGAATGAAAGAAAAAGAAAGAAGGAAAGAAGGAAGGAAGGAAGGAAAGAAGGAAGGAAGGAGAGAAGGAAGAAAGGAAAGAAGGAAGGAAAGAAGGAAGGAAGGAAGGACACACATACACTTATAATTCAGTTCTCTAATAGTTCTATAGTCAGTCACATACCCCAAATTACATTCTTATAATGGGTTTATTCTTGTACAAAATATGTTGTAATTTGTTGATGCATGTGCAGCAAAATATTCTATCACATACAACAAAAATACACCTTTTACTCCCTTTTCCCTGCCCTCGAAAATGGCAACACTGTTTTGGCAGTTCAGCAGCTAAAAATAAAGTGCTATAATTAAGCAGTATCGGAATGTCTTCGCTTGACAAATGTGATGTAAAATTTGAGTATACAACCATATCATTTTCTTGATTTTTCACAGAATAGGAAGCTCCACATCCTGAACACCCCCAGAAGATACAAATATTTGTATATATATGTACACATGTATACACTGTATATGTAAAGTGCCAACAAGCCTCTTTGTCCTTGTGAGTTTGTTGCATTTCTCTTTAGTCCCTTTTTCTTTTCAAAGTCAGACTCATGGCATTGGGATCTCAGAGTTCATCAGCAGACACCGAGCTTACCAAAGGCTAGCTTGTTGCGGGTGTGGTGTTGGCGAGAGGACACGGAGCGAGCCCTTCAGACCTCGCTGGGGGACCTGGAACGAAAGGGCACTTTGGACTGGAAACAGCCACAGAACAGGAGCCACAGGGCACGCTGGATCTCCTGGTTGCGGAAGGCATAGATGATGGGATTGATCATGGAGTTGTAGGTGGCAGGCAGCAGGGTGGCGTAAGTGTAAACCGCCGGGTCCTCGTGGCTGCCCACCACGCAATAGATGGCGAAGGGCAGCCAGCTGGCGCCGAAAGTGCCCAGCACCACGGCCAGCGTACCTACGCCCTTTCTGGTGGCCGCGAGATGGGGCGGTGCCAGGCAGTGTTGCTGCAGCGCGATCTGGTGTGCGTGGCGCCAGACCACCTGGCAGATGCGCACGTACAGGTGCAACATGATGCCGAAGACCGCGAAGAAGGTGGCAGAGAGCAGTGCCACGTGGCTGCGCGCCAGCGGGCGCACCACGCTGCAGGCGGCGCGCTCTGCCAGGCAGTTCCAGCCCAGCACGGGCAGCAGCCCCAGGCCTAGGGACACGGTCCAGGTGGCGGCAAGCAGGAGGTGCACGCCCAGCAGGGTCCGGCGCGAGTAATAGGTGAGCGCGTTATAGAGGGACAGGTAGCGGTCCACCGTAATGGCCAGCAGGCTGCTGACAGAGGCAGCGAAGGAGGCCACGAGGAAGCCCACCGTGAGCAGACTCACAGTCTCCGAGGGCACCATGTACTGGAACACAAAGTGCAGGATGAGGCCACAGCCCGCCAGCAGGTCAGCGGTGGCCAGGCTGCCCACCAGCACGAACATGGGCGTGCGCAGCGCCGGGGTGGACGCGATGAGAGCCACCACCAACGCATTTTCTCCAGCGATCACTGTCCCCGACACGCACAGGAGCACGTCCCACGGGTTCACCGCTGGCAGCAGGAGTCCCGGTGGCCCAGCTGACAGCTGCGAGGACAGCTCCAGCGACCCATTAGCCCCGCCACCGGCTCCCAGAGCCGCCGCCGCAGCAGGGGGTCCCCATTCGCCGGTGTCCGTCCCCCCTGCTGCTGTAGCCGCCGCCGCTGCTCCTTCGGCCGCCACTACTACCACCTGGGAGTCGTTGAGCGAGGCGGCGCTCGCGTTCATCTCGGCCAGATTTGCACCCTGCATAGAGAGGGAGTGTAGGCGTCAGGTGTACCCTTGAGGCTGCCAGGAAACTTCCCCAAGCGTAGAGCCTCCTCTCGCATTGCCTCACTTGAGTTGCACATCCCACCCTGAGACCCCAGAGCAGAGCAGGAAAACGGGTTAAGTGCGAACCCAAAATAAATACCTGTTGAGTGAGTGAAATGCCCACTCGGACTTCTGAGTTTTTGCAGATACACACCAGGAGAACATGCACTCACATGCACACGGATCAGTACTTCAAGGGCGCCTGTATTTGCACACCCACCCGAGTGCACCAAACTAGGAGTGTCATCCTGGGAGAGTCCCGCCGGGTAGTGGCGGCGCGATCAAGGCATCGCCACCGAGCTGGGCAGCGGAGACGCTGTCCGCGGTGCTGAAAGCTAAGTTTCTGCCATTGCGAAGCCTGGAGCTCCTTGGAGCCCAGAGACCCCTTCGAAGAGGGTCTTGAAGGAGATACTAGGGTGAGTGTATGGGGCAGCGGAGGTTCAGAGTGACGGTTGGCTCAATTTCTCCGCTTCTTGTAAGACCCGTCCCCTGGCAGTCTTTCTCCCCTTTTCTCCCCACATCCTCAAAGTTCCCTGGGGAACTCGGCCGCCTACCTGGGGCGTCAGGACTTCTGGAAGTCGCTGGTCATGGGCGCCGGGGCGGGGCGCCGGGCTGAGCTCCCCGCGCGGACAGAGCAGCTGCCTGCAAGAGGCAGCCGGGCCGGGGAGGAGGCGAGCGCCGGGCGCCTGTCGCTGTGCCGGCTCCGCGAGTGAGAGACACAGTTAGTGGCAGAAAAGGCGGCTGCGAGCGGCGCGCGCCGGAGATTGACAGGCAGGGCGTGGTGACGTCAGGCTCCTGGCTCCTGGTGCGAGCCCAGCACTCACTCTCCCCGCAGCCCATCCTGTGCCCTCCCCGCCGCACTCCCCCTGCCCCCAACACTATCTGAGGCTCCTGGGAGGGAGGAGAAGCCAGAGCAGCCACCTCCAGTCCAGAACTTCCAGGAATGGGATAGGGGAGAGACAAGGAGAGGGAGAAAGGAGTGATGAAGACCCTGAGACCGGGCTGCGAAGAGGGTGAGCTGGGAGGGGAGGGGTGAGGGATGAGTGGCACCTGCGGGGCAGCAAAGCCCAGCGTCAAAGATCACTGAGGAATCAGGTAGAAAAAGAAGCCCCGGAGAAGGGGGAGGTTGGGACAAGGGTGTTTCATGGAAGAGTAGCTACCTTAAAAAAAAAAAAAGTGCTGCTCCCGAAACAGGAATTATCTGGGAAAATAAATTCATTTTATTTATTTATGTATTGAAATGGCGCAATCTCAGCCCACTGCAGCCTCTGTCTCCTGGGTTCAAGCGATTCTCCTGCCTCAGCCTCCAAGCAGCTGGGATTACCGGTGTGTGCTAACACGCCCAGCTAATTTTTGTAGAGACGGGGTTTCACCATGTTGGTCAGGCTGGTCTTGAACTCCTGACCTCAAGTGATCCACCCACCTCGGCCTCCCAAAGTGCTGTTATTACAGGCATGAGCCACCACGCCAGGCCTAAAATCCAATTTTTATAAAGGCTGTTTGTGATACATGCTCCGTTGAGTAGATCCAGGAATGAAATACTGATTTATGGGGAGCAGACACAAGATGAATAAACAGGGGACATCTGAAGAAAACAATCTCTTCTTTTGGAGGTTTCCTGTGCAATTCCTCTCTTTCCCATTATCTTTTTTGAACTCGACACAGCAGGTTTCGCCGTGATCTTTTCTGCCCAATGTTTCTCCATTTCAGTAGCTGATAGTGCCCTTGGAACTTGCACTTTAATTAAAGACCAACTCTGTGTCTTGCTATAAAAGAAGAAAACAGCAAAATGTGATTTACTTTCCTGGCAATAGACTTTGCCCTGTTAATTAGTACCTGATAAAACAAATTACAGGATGAAAATAGTGATAACTCAGCTGCACGAGACTTTAGTAGGCAGGAGTTTTATTTTCAGCCCAGATAAATCATCCTTTTGGTTTAAAAGTGTTTTGTTTTGTCAGTAAGATACGAGTATTAGTCTTCTTCTTCTCTTTCTTATTCCAGAATCTGCAATAGCTATACTTGGGCAAGAGCTAACATAGTTGATACCATCTGAGATTCTAAAATAGATGATTGCACATTGGCATGATGGCATTGCACAGAGGCCACAGCCATAGTTTTCAGGGACCACATGGTCTGGGCAAAGTGAAAATCAGCAATGTTTGTTGCTAGTGCTCCCCATAATTCTCCCTGTGGACTCTCTCCTCCCTTCACTTTGCCTCTAGCTCCAAAGAGGGGAAAAAAGATACTCAGACTGTCCATGGGTTGGGGGATGAGTTTACCTTAGATTGCCACTTTTAAACACATCCTCCAAGTCCAGACTATTCTCACTTCAATGCAGTCAAACTTAATTACAAGAAAAAGGGGCGTATGACAGTTCAATTCTTTGCCAAAATAGCTGATGCTGGACATAAAGTGAGTTTACACACAATTTATTCATTTGGGGAGGTTAAAAAATCCATGCACCACTATTTTCTTGAACCCCGAAATTGACTGAAGTTAAATTTCTGAAAAGAACCATTTTGTGTTTTAGTACAAGATTGTCATCTAAGAGTCAATAATGTTATTTCAAGTGAACCATCAAACCACTGTAATAGCATGTTAACTGAGGATTTTCCAAATGATCAAATAAAAGCCCAAGGGGAGGAGAATCCTCCTTAATGTCTAACTATGTTCCATTTTCACATGACACAATGTAGCAGAAAGTATAGGGTTAAAATAGAACCTACCACAGAATCTCTGAGTATCCTTAGGCTTCAACATTACCAAGAATAGATTTCTCAGTGGTTTCCAGAGGAAGACAACACATGTAGAATCATGTACATAAATGCTGGTTGAGGATTTGTAGACTGACTTTGAGTGAGACTAGTCTGCGGTTACCTTTCTTGGATGCTAGACTAGGTCCTGTGCAGACAGGGCATGATCTTTTAAACTCCTCTTTATCTCCTCCACAGCCACCCATCTGTTGGAAGGTAGAAGATGGAAAAGCAAAATGTGTGTTTCATCAGTTATGAATGGAAATTAGATAGACTTCTTTACCTGCCTTGCCTATAGTTACTATATAAGGACCTGCCCTTCCAATGGTCTCCTAAAGTGTTCAGCCTGTGAACCACATGAAATTTTCCACCCATACCCTAGTATATGGGAGGAGATTGACACTTCACCTGAAGGTAGATAAGATCAGACCAGCCATCCTTTGCTGGGCTAATGACCAGATCTTTTTCTGTAGAAAATTTGAACTAAGAAACACCTTAACGATTGTTAGTTAGTGTTGGGCTCTAGACATGAATGATAGTGATAAATTAGAGCTGAACCCCTTGTGTATGGGACCTTGTGTGAAGTATGTAATCAGAGAAAGGCAATTGCAATGGAAGAAAGAATCAGATGTGTGAAGAGGAACAGAGATGAAGGAGATCAGCTGACCAAGAGGTGAAAGGAGTGACCTCAGTCCCTGAGTGTCTGGTTTCTGGCTCTGGGAGCCCAAATCCCTGGATCCCATGAAATTACCTTTTGGGTCTCTATCACAAACCTTCCTAATCTTGAGCTACCTTGAGAGGGTTTCTATTCTGTGAATCCTTGATAGTTGACTGAAACTTACAAGCAAATGTATTATGTTTGGTTGTAAACAAAACATAAACAGCTTGTCTGATCTTGTTTATGTTTTGGGATCTGCAAAGTTTGGCTTCTGATTGGTAGTCACAGATTAAATTCATTATTGTTAACCCTTTGACAAACTCATCACAGGCGAAGGTGCCCTGGTTCTTTCTATTCTAGTGCTATGTAAGCATAAACAATGGGAAACTTTTCTTGTCTGAGGCTAAGCCCAGGAATCACAGCCTGTCAACCACAACTCTTTCTTTCTCTGGCTTCGTTTGGTATCGCATTTCCATCTCAACCTAAGCTAGCAGTTCTCAGTCCTGGTTGCATGTTAGAATTATCTAGAAAGGTTTTTAAAACTACCCGTCTTTGGATCCATCACAGAGAGATTCTGATTCATTTTGTCTGGGGTCGGTATTTTCTGAAGATCCTAAAGAAAACCGAGGGTTGAGAATCTTCATCAAAACAATCCCTTTGACAGTTTAATGTGTAGAGAAACTCCTGAAATAGTGGTTATCTTTTTGGAATAGCTGCAATAAAGAAATTTCAGTGAGAATCCAGCTTTAAATCATTCAGTGTAACTTCAAGTTTAACACACTAACTAAATCTCCTCTTCAGATCTTTAATTTTCCACACACACAGAACCTCTTTTCTCTCTCAAGAAAAAGGCCGGCACCTGGCTTGGCACCGATGAATTCAATAGCCCCATCAGGAAGCACTAAACTCTGGCTCTAGTTCAGGTTGCCCTGAACCCTTTATTCTGCTGTAGGTTTCAAGATACCTCAGCATTTGCACCCTTTCTCTGTGCTGATCTCACAGCTGCCTCCCAGGTGTGCCCGCTCCTGGCTCAAGTCCTTGCAAATCAATTCTGTTTTATAATATTAGGACTGCAGCCAGTCGAGCTGTCCAGAACCTCATAAAACTATGTTGGAAACACCCACACTGACAAGAAATTCTGGTCTCTCTCTTTCTCTCTCTCTGGGCATCTGAGTGCACGCGCACACACACACACACGCACTCTCTCTCTCTCTCTCTCTCTCTCTCACTCTCTCTCTCTCTGTTCTTGATTCTTGCAGATAAGCTGTATAGTTTTCAACTGGGAAGTGTAAGTCTGTCTTGGGGTATCCAGATGCTTGTGCTGACATCTCAGGAAGACAGCAAGTGCTTGGTGAGATGCACGAAGCTGTTCACTAAGAAAGATCGTTGCTACAAGAGGCAGACATCACAAAGGGCCACTGAATACACTACATTGTTTGTCCAGATCCATGGTGTTGGATGGAGTGTAATCTTTTGGAGACACATGCTGAGGTAGATGAATTCTATTAAAAATCTTTTTTATTTCTGTTTCCACTTGACCCCAGGGGTTCCTCTCATCCTCAGGCATCAGGGCTCTGTCATAATATCCAAGGTATCTCATTTGTCATCATATCCAAACACATCGGGGATGTTCCTCCCTCATGCCAGATGTGCAGTCCCCACTCAAAAGGGCTTCTAACCTAGTAGGTCAGCATAAACTGATGTTTCCACCAAATTGAGATAAGGAACAGAGCACCATTATTATCATTACATGTCCACAGGCTGCAGCACACTGAAGGAAAGTTGAGATTTGGGGTTTAATTCACTTAATGAACGTATTTTTTGCATGAGAAATAAATTGTAGCTTTTAAAGGCATGTGTATTTTTTCACAAAGATTGAAAACAATTTCATTGAGTTTATGAAGGAATGTATAATATTACGACTTAGAGCACCAACTATACTGAATATGAGAATGTTAACAAGAAAGTTGTTTCTATTAATGTATTTGAAAATAAACACGAGGCAGTCTTCTAATCTGCCATGCCCTCCATTTTCTTTTCTCTCTCTCTCTCTCTCTCTCTCTCTCTCTCTCTCTCTGTGTGTGTGTGTGTGTGTTTTAATCTGCATTTCCTGATAACATGTAATGTGAAGCACATTTTCATATGCATATTTACCATGAGTATATCATCTTTTTTGGTGAGGTGTCCGTCAAGGTGACTAGCCTTTTTTTTTTTTTTTTGAGAAAGAGAGACAGAGTCTTTCACCTCAGCTGGAGTCTCTCTCTCTCTCCTTTTTTTTTTTTTTTTTTTTT